TACCTCTGTCTGCCTCTGCGTAGCCTGCTGAAGATTATCCATTACAGTCCGCGTCTCCACGTCTTATATTCCTCTGTAAGTTCCTCCATGACCTTCGTGATCCCATCCGCCATATTTCGAACGGATTCAATATCACGCATGATATTGAATAACCTTTTTCGAGCCGCTAAAGGTTCATCGTGGCTACATAACTAAATATAAAACTGTGTAATAACTTCATAGTAAGATAACTTCCTCTCTCTCTCTCTCTCTCCCTGGGCGGTCTTCCTTAAAGTTGAGCCTTTTAACGAGAAAATCGGGTTCGACGGGATCTCTGATGGTAAGCGCATTCATCCATATGACGTAGAATTAATATTCTATTTCCAGGTGCACTTGAAGGTAAAATTCGGAAACGTTGAAGTGAGTGCAGATTCTCTTTTCTCGTCTCTCGGTAAGGAAAGGAAGAGAAATTTCCTAGTTGAAGCGAGCAGATGATCGGCAGTCGAGAAAGACCCCAGGATATTGCTTATTTCCATGAATGTATGGCGGCCATCCACACTTATCAGGGCCGAAAAGAGACCTTGCCATACCCGAACATTGTTGGCGCATAAACGGCCTGCCTGGCACTCCATTGCATTCGTATTCATCGTCTTTTCACCAAAGTGTGATGACTCCGGTCATTGTACTGGCTGCTAAATTGGTCTACCACGAGGACCCAGAACAGAAATCAAAGAACAATTTATGACTTTGTATTCCTCGGCGCCGGGAACGCGGCAGTTTGGCGGCCAGAGTATACGTCCCTTTAATACAGAGCACACGTGAGGTACTTTTTTCGCTTTTTTTTGGTGCTGACTGGGAGCCTCCAATGCGGAATTGAATGAACCCATTTTAGTGTACTGCGTGCGAAGCCCCTAGAAAATGCGAGAGCCATTTAGCACAAAGCTCTGGTGACACCCTGAGCCACCTTCTCGGAAGTTCTCTTCGATCAAAATTTCCGCCGGACACTTCCCTGTTGCCGGGAGCAGGGTCACTATGTACTCTACCAATGGTCCTGCTAGAATGCTTCTCAGCGTGTTTCCCTTCACTGCAATCTTTATACCACCCCTTTTCAAAAGTCTGTAGGAACATTTCTGAATAGTACTTTGAGTCCGGGTGATATGGCGAGAGTGGTCAATCGATATGCCTACCCTCGTGGATTTCTTGACGCCCTCCAAGAAAACGGTAATCCATTATCGAACACAGTTTGCTCCGGCAGCCCATGACTTGCAAAAATTATTCGTAGCCTTTCCATAGTTTTTCGCTGCCCTAGTGGAGCTCGTGTGGGTCACTTCTGTCCGTTTGGGATAGGCTACTAAAATCAGCCATTTCTGTCGGCTGTGGGTTCACCAAAAAATCTCATGCAACCTTCCGCTGTTTCGCCGATTCCTCCAGCAAGTGCAGTGGTGTTTTTGACAAGATTATAAGCTGGAAAAAAACAGGACATATAGTTCGTAACATTGCCATTCGTCGGGGCGGCGTGAGCGGCGCGGTTCGAGCCCGCGTCCGGCTGCCTTGCTCTACCAATGGCGATCGGGTAAAGATCGATTTAGGAAGAAATCAACCACTGGTGGAAGCGCCGCAGCGGGAAGCGCGGTTGCGACCCGACAGGTTGCAATGATCTAAACCGTATACAGTATCATCTCCGAAAATTGCGCGTGAAATCAAATGCGTTGGGCTTTGAACGCACACGATTGGATATACTGTAAGATCCGATAACGAGTTTTGGAAAAACTAGTGAAAAATGGTACCCCCCAACAGCGCGGGGAAACGGTGCGCGTACCGCTCAGTTTACGCCCAGGTCGCACTTGGCTACAGATGGAAAGCAAGATTAGTGTCGCTCTCCCTACGTGGCTTGACCTCGAAGCTTACTTGCTGCAAAACTTGGAAACTGGCCTACGGTCCATGCAATGGTGTGCGTTCACGGCCCAACACATTTTATTGCACGCGCAATTTTCGAGCGTGATCTATCTGCTATTATTGTGGTAGTTTTTCTGTGAAATCTTCACTGTTCTGCAGGTAAGACGTGATCATTACTCCGCTGTTGGTTTTTAGACAGTTTCTCTTCTGCATGCAAAGCTTCCTTTAGTCGTTTTTCCCGGCATTCTCTTTCGACGAAATAATATTTCCACTGTTCATTTAGCGTCAGAAGTCGTGCTTATTTTTCTGAAATACTCATTTCTCTTTCCAATTTCGTTCAAGTTACATCACTGTATCTGCCTTATGTTGCTCGCGGAAGAGGACTCATATAGTCAGGTTTCTTTCGTGCTTTCCATGACGAAACATTCTTAGTCTATCAACCGGATGTTCTCTCGCCTGCAAGAGTCTAGAGGTATTTTGTCATCGCATCTTCTGGTCGAACATTGGGAGGGAGGAAATAAGCAAGTGAGGTGAGGAAGAGGAATGAAGGAAGGGTGAATGGAAAAGCAGGAAGGAGAAAGGAAAACGGAAACTTGAGGGAGGCTTCAGCGGTGGACAGATATTCTGAGGCTTCAGGCACCTTTTCAGGCTATCTCGAGACTTCACAAGGGGTTCGCGTAGCAGTTCCTCGCGACAACCCATGGAAAGCACGAAAGAAACCTGACTATATGAGTCCTCTTCCGCGAGCAACATAAGGCAGATACAGTGATGTAACTTGAACGAAATTGGAAAGAGAAATGAGTATTTCAGAAAAATAAGCACGACTTCTGACGCTAAATGAACAGTGGAAATATTATTTCGTCAAAAGAGAATGCTAGGAAAAAACGACTAAAGGAAGCTTTGCATGCAGAAGAGAAACTGTCTAAAAACCAACAGCGGAGTAATGATCACGTCTTACCTGCAGAACAGTGAAGATTTCACAGAAAAACTACCACAATAGTGAATAGCAGATCCAATGGGCGGCTGAAGAACACACTTGTAGAAGGCCAGGAAGTATTCACCAGCAGTGTTGGTGATCTGGACGCAAAGGGCAGCAGAATAGCGAATAGCAGCAGGACAATGAAAAAAAGCTTCCTGAATATTCCTTTCCACCGCTACCGAGGAATAAACCTTAAAGACAGCGCCCGCGATGGACTTTGGCAGGTCTCAGGGGTCAAATTTGTTAGAACAGGTGGCCAATGAAGCACTAATCAAAAAAAAGTAGGAAAAAGGTGTGGAAGAGCGTGAAATAAGACCCGTACGAGAAGTCTAAGGCATGTGGACGAGTTTCGCACACTTTGGTGAGTTCTCCAATACACGTCGCCGCCTCGGAACTCCAGAAACTTAGCGTTTATCAATGCCAGCAAGCACAACTGTTAACCAGTCGGGGCGGGATTAACAGGGAAGGAGGCGTCAGCTTTCAGCCTTGTTGACTCCGCCCTCGTCAACCAATCGATTTCGAGCCGCAAGAGTGGGATTTCCGCTGTGGTTGCGTACTCCGCGTTCGTTTTCATTGGAGGGTTTTTTCACTTTGGTTGATCGCGGACGCTGCCTTTAAGAGCTGTTCGGTTTCAAATTTTCTTCGTTCGCGGGAAGAATAATTCAGATGCAGTTTGAATTGCAATGACGCTGCCGCGTGGTAACAGTCGGGTGCGGAATCTAACCGTGTTCTGTACGCAGCCTTTATTCCCGAACTTGTAATGTTCTGCTCACAACGTTTTCGTGCACCTTCGAAGTCAGCAGCTGCAGCCAGAACTATTTGTTGAGCTCTTGAGGCATTGTTCACGAGTCGCAGGCCCTGACGAAACGGCGCGTTGGAAAAAGCCAAAATTAAATAGTTCATCGATCGCGAGAATCGCCAACCGTCACGCCCAACCGCCGCGGTGGGACGTTAGGGCGAAAAACAGTAGTGTGTATCGAATTTCTCTGGCGAAAACGCACCGCAATGGAGCTAAGCTGTCTTGTGGATAGCGAAAAACGTCGCGGTTTGGCGAAACGCCCGTCGATACGTACCAAAACCCTTTCGCCCAACCGCCAGGCTCTTCGCCCAACCGCCAGTCGATATGTATCGAAAGCTTTTCGCCGAACCGCCGCGTTTCAGAGAAACGCTGGACCGCAGAGTGTGAACAATGCCTGACCTTTCACGCAGGACCCTCAACAAAAGTTCTGGTTGTCGCCTAACCGCTGCCACGCAAACATTTCTGCGTGTCCTGTTGAGAAACCTTGGCGCGGCCGAACAGAACAGCTGTTACGGAAGCATTGAGAATTGAGAAAGAACATGTGGGATGTGCTTTTTCAAACGTAGGGCGTGACGACGTTCCGAGCGCGACTCCACCGTCAAAGCGGTTGCACCGCCGTAAGGCCGCGTTCATACATGATGCAGAAATGCGGAATATGCAGAACTGCGGAATTTGCAGAAAGGAAATATATACGTATCGATCTGAAAACTGCATTTCTTCAAATTCCGCGGAATTTGCCGACATGCAGAAATTGCGGACAAAGAATTGATAGGGATCGATTGGTTCTTCCCTGCCGTCGTGCGGAATTTGCCGTCGTGCAGAATCTGCAGATTCTGCAGATTCCACACGACGGCAAATTCCGCGGAATTTGCCGACATGCAGAAATTGCGGACAAAGAAGCGATAGGGATCGATCGGTCCATCGGCATTTCTGCAAATTCCGCACTTCTGCATATTCCACGGTTTTTGAAATCGATAGACATATTTTCTTTTTCTGCAAGTTCCGCGGTTCTGCAGATTCCACACGTCATGGTTGCAACCATTCACTGGCGGTTCGGCATTTCTGCCATCTGTGTATGAACGCCGGCCTAACAGCAACTATCGAACTGGACTGCGTTCCACGACGATATACAATTTGATTGTGCTTTGCGGCGGTACAACGTTTGGCCGAGTGGTGCGCTCCCGGTCGTGGGTAGGCGCGAATCCCAATCTCGCGATCAGGTCGCGAAGTCTAAAACGCGGTCTATGTTCCCTAAATCTTCTCCATTTGTGGAATGTATCAACCGCATAACACATGTGTTTGTTGTATTCAACCCCTTCTCTTAATTTGCATAAGAATTATTACAGTATGTCCCAAAGAATTCTTCGTCGAAATCACAATTTGGAAGACGTGCCTGGACCAAGCGAGCCTACCGATGCTTCGCGTGGCGAACCAGTTGATCCCAACGAGGTGAGATTGTTTCAAAAGGTTTTCTATCCATCCGGTCGCGTTTATACTTTGAGCGGAGTGTACGACTTAGTAGAATCGAAGATTATTCGGGCTCACTGCTTCATTGGAGCGAGTCGAACTTTTATTTCAGGTACCATCTTTCAATGACATTTTGGGGTATGCCAAAGAATTCTCAGCTGCTCATCAGTCTTTGGCGACTCTTATGGTCAACATGGGTGTTCTTACGGTAGTTTATAATTTTTCTGTAGTTCGGCTGATTAGTATCCCTCACACCAGGGCTTCAACCCGATGATGGTGTGTTTTTAGAAGAAGAAATTCTACATCAGTTTCATCCGGGACGTCATCAGAATTCATCTGAAAAGTGAGCTTTTTGTGAGCGTTGTTCCATAATGGTTTCTCTTTCTTCAGGATGCTTTCCATAAGAATTCTACACTGACCTGTTTTCAGGGAATCCCGATACGGTTTCAAAAATCGCATGTTCTGTGGAAGAACTAGATAACCTTGTTTCACTATTGTTCAATGAACTCAATCCTCGCCTGTCTGGGGTGCGTTTCATTCATCTAATTTTGTTTGTAAGCAAGCCTAGACGTAGAGGATTGTGGCCTTGAGAACTAAGTGCTTGGGATTTGCAGGTCACCTACAAACAGTGGTTAGGAGGGCGCAAACGTAGTGTGGGGAGTAGGAGGGGAGGGCTGCGTCCACACATTGCGACTAGGTGTTTTGGAGAATCGTTGTTCAGAGAATTGGCTCTCTGGATGAATAAGCCTTTCGAGCGAAGAGGAAGGTATCGATCTAGTGTTTTACGAGGGTAGATGGATCGTCGTCAAAGAAAGAATCGAAGAAAAGGAGTAAAATATAGGGTGTGATTACAGCGTCGCTACTTTATGATGCCTAGTCCAACAGTTTAATACACTCTTATTGTTCCATTCTCATCTACAACGTCGATTCCTCTGTTCTTGTGAACGCTAGATCAACAATCCTTTTCGATCAAGAAGCTGATCCGTTCAAAAAGCCGGTTCTCCTGATGCGACGAAGTCTAAAACTAGAACGCAGGGTCTCGCGTCAGCGTTTTAAGTATTTTGAGAGCGACTTGGAAAGTACAGGAGCGCTGGTGCTAGCCTCTTATTTCTCCATTCTCTCTAGGAAATTAGTTCATACTTCCCGATCCCCAAAGATCATGAATTCGCTCTAAAACAACCACACGTAGTCGCCGGAAACGCTGATGTACGCTCAAAACGCTCATAACGCTAAAATGAAGTATAAACGCACCCTTGGGTTGGGAGCATAGAAGACCAGAGTCGCCGACGCATTGTCTCGCAGGGGACATAGACAGGGAAATTATCATAGGCGTTACTCAGTGCCCCGATCCCCTCGCATCTTCATCCCCCAACTACGTTGTGCCGTAAGGTAGTCGTAACAGACGTTATCCATGATCACTTTAGCTCGGGTTACGTCTTACATCAATAGCTGATGAAGAAACGGGCCGAGAAATGGTAATTCTAGTGAGTGAGGATGTGCTCCCGAAAGATATCAGCAGCATAAGTGGTTTTTCGTAAGTAAATTAATTGAACTATTAGATTGTTTAGTAGCGTTGTTGAGATCCAATTTTGTACTCAATTTTATTCCATTCAGAGCCGACGAACTAACATTGTTTGCACGTTATATTCCACAATTTGTCGAAGGATGTGGTCAGTGTGAAAGTTCGTGGGCACTAAATGAAGCGACCAATCTGTCAAACCCAATGACGCTTATGAAGGCTCAAAAACTTCTTAGACAAACTCGCCAACGTCGGCTGGATTTCCGAGGTAGTCTTCTTCTCCGATTCCATTTTGATACCACTGCTTTAAATTGTCTCCAAAATTTGTGTAGGTGTAAAGGACAAGGGTAAAGTAAGGTCAGATAAATAAGGTTAGTTATGATCAATAGCCTTAGTATGTGCCACCCATTGCGCTTTCATTTGGATCGTGAGGGCATTTGAATGCGTATTCAACCTATACACCTTTAGAATGAATGGACTAGCTGATGTTACAGTGACTTTGCCCCCTTAGGCGAGTCTACTGGCGAATAGTTGCCCTGGAGAGTGAAATTTCCTGTTAGGCTGAGTGGATTGGGACTTTTGAAGTGGGCGCATTGTCTCCAAGCTTCTGTGGTGACTCCCTTTTCAGTCTTCGCTTATATTCGGCGACATCAGCGATTTAGTTCATAGTTATTCGTGTCCTCCACAAGTTTCAAACCGCTGTTTGAATTTGATTCATTCTGAAATCGCTTAGAATAGCGCTTGACAGGAAATTGAGTTTCTGTTGACTTTCTTTTTTCGTGAGGTTTCTTTTCTCGAAATCAGTGCTTAATCAATGGCGAAATACACATGGAGGGGGTAAAGTAGCGATGCAGTAAACGCACGCCTAGAGTGAGTTACTAGTGTCGCGAACTAAGAACGCCGCACAGCCTACTACTGTAGCCTAGCCTTCTTTCAAAGCTGGGAGTTAGGACATCTGATTATCCCTACTTCCTAGTAAGAAGTATGTCACGCGGCCACCCCACTATGACTGATCAACGGTGGCCAATTCATCTTTTGGCGCTGTTCGGCTTCACATTTTGTCCCTTCGCTTCACTTCATTTTGGTGGCCTGTGTTAACTACCAGGTCTCACTTGGGTCTGCAAACCTCTGTACTCATGTGAAGCTGCGAAATTGTGGGAGCCACTCAAGTCACAGGTGTTCAAAGGTCTTTACAAGGTGGCCTGTACAAGCTTAGCTGATTACCACTCTGTGCCCCCACCAAAACGCCCTGCGCCCACCTTTTTTACCCTTGTCTGGTTGGCGCTGAGGAGAAATTGTTGAAGCACTTTACTTTCAGAAAGGCGACACCATCTGGTTGGAACCGCGTGCTATAGCAGAATTGGAACCTGTCCTGACGACGAAGTATGGCTGCAGTACATGTATTCTATGCCAAAAAGTAGTTGTTAGGTAAGTGCCTTTCGCTCTATCTACTGCCTAGATTGGACAGTATTTGAGAGCAAGTGAATAGTTTGTTCTCAATCACGGCGCAACCGGTCTCTCTAGAGTACTTTTTGAAAGATGCATTGGAATTATTTTTGGGCCAATGTTCTCTTTTTTTCCTCGCATGCTCTCCAAAACGTTGCATTATAAAGTTATTTGCAGGAGAGATATTGCCATTATTTGCGGTTCCTGTGATGCACATATACATAGACACTGCTGGCTGAAGTAAGTGGTTCCTGTGTTTTTGTTGATATTTTTATTCGTGCTAGTACTAGCAGATCTTCAAGATGATCAATCAATGCAAGCTTCGATGTTAATATGACACGAGGTAGGGGGCACGGAAGCAGCGAGGGCAAGTGATATCCTCTTTTCTGTCCCTCCCAGCAAGATAGTGTTAGCGAGTTTGGCTAGTATAGGTGGTGTTACAGACAAGCAGAATGGGTGTAGGCCAGTAAGTCCAGTGAGCCAGTCTGCAATGCGACAGATTTAGCACTAGAACTGAGCTTTTCTATAAAAAAGGTTTTTACTGTTTGTAGTTAATTGGTAGCTTTACTATGCTGAGATTTCTCGCTCTATGGGCAAATAATTTTATACCTCATTCACAAGTAGTTATTTCTTCGTGATGAAAGGATATTTGGGAAGCGCATCTGATGCAACATTGTGATCAGACCAATTCACTTAGCTCCTGAGTCACGATACTGATTGAATCCCTAGATTAGTTCGCACCAACATGTTGATTTCTAAGCCTTCCAGTGTCAACTGTGACGTTCTTACTCACCTATTTCACCACTGTTACAAAACTGCCACGATTCAAGGGTGCAGATTCGGAAGCTTCCACACTTGGCGACGCAGTGAAAGCATGATACAGAGCACGGAATTTGCGCCAGGACTAATTGAGTGGGAGCGTAGAGGGTTGGTGCTCGGGCATGAAAGAGGCCTACTTGCAAGTCTAGCCTTATTTACCGAGGCATGAAGTTCTTTGAAGAGGGGAGACTGTTGGTGGATAGTGCCTTGAAGCCGCGACATTAGGAACTTATGATGGCCATGTGGGACGAACGTGTCGGTGAGAGAGCGCAGACAAGAGCAGAAAATTGACGCGAGCTAAAGGAAGTGAATATGTGATAACAAAGTCTTTAATCGAAGGCAATAAAATGTGAATACAGTTCTCAGATCTGGAGTCCTTACACCAAAAAACTTCAGGCAAAAGTTGAAAAAGTTCAACAAACTTTCACCAGAATTCTAATGTACCGATGTTATCCCACCCCGTTATATCCACTTGGTTTACTATAGAGAGCGCTTACAGCTTTTTTCCTTGAAGTTCATTCTATATAGAAGGGTTTAATGGAATTTTCCCTGCTTCAAAGTTATTCAAAGGAGAGTTCAAGATTGCAAGCCTACGTAAAGTGGGTATTAGGTAAGTAGGGGCCGTTCCTCTTGCCTGCTGCCCGACATTGAAGAGCAATAGCCGTCGATCTAAGATATTTAACTCTCTATTTTCCCGTAGAGCCAGATGGCTTCAGTCACTGCCATCAGTCCTACAGAAGGCGCCAAATATCAGCGTGTTCAAAAAGAAATTGAAGGAACTTACCTAGCTCGCTTTTTTCCTGTGTAGGAATTGAGGCATTTCTAAGGTATTGTGGCTGATGAGTTTTCTAATGCTAATGTGTACAGTCCATCTGCGGACCGGTGGGGCGTGTCAGTCAGAAGGAGTGCGCACACTGTTGAAGCCGTTCTCAGCCTTTTTGTTGCAACGCGTATGCGACAAAAAGTGGTAGAAAACGAGTAATACGAAGGATATAATACAGTAATGCACTTGCCCGCTTCAAAACTGGTGCAGAACGACTTTGCCAAACCGCACCAAACGCAGCCGCACTGCCACGCCCCACCGGTCCGCAATGATGAGGACTGTATGTGTCTGAATTTGTTGTTGTCTTTATTTCTATATCGCTTGAATGTTTTCGTTGTCTAGCCCATCCAGTTTCGAGCACATTGTAGCGCACTCTTGCGTGCATAGTAAATAAATAAATAAATAAATAAATATTTCATACTGCAGCCTCTGGCCTGGGCTGAGTTCCAGCGACAGCCGACTTGAGCCTTTTCCAGAGACTTTGTAACAGCAGGAGAAAAGCTCGTTTTTGAACGTTGGGTCATTAATGATTGGTTTGATAGTAAATCAAGTTATCTTTCCAGGTATAGTGCAAGTTCCGAAGCTGATGACATATCGTGTCCTGGAAGAGGGTCCAAAGGGTGTGATCAAATGTTCTCCAAGAATGATGTAGCGGAGCGGTTTCATTGACAGTCGTCTGATCTCAAGACATTAAGTTACCTACAAATGCAGTTTGATCTCCTTTTTCACTCATTTATTTAGCTTGTATTACTAAAGAAAATGAATCCCAGTGAAATATGTAAACGTTGCTAACCGTTTGTTGAAAATTTTGATTCTCATAGCACGCCTGCCAGCCATTTCACTCTTGAGTCGCTCTCAAAGTTCGAATGGACGTGTTGCTCGCTGCGATGCTGGGGCCCCAGAGGGCAGGGCCGAGGACGGGCTCGATTTGCCTGGGCGCCAACCCGTCTTCTACCATTGTTGAGATGGGGGATAAAGCACAAACAAGGTGTGTGGAAAGTGGTTGGGGCACTCCAAAGCGAGCTTCTATGGGACAGCCTCAGTTCATCCGCAGCGCGAACATCTTTGTATGTGCTCATCTGTTGTTGAATGTTATTTTTGCCCATTCCTTTTTTTCTGTATAAATTGATGGTTTTACATGTTATTATTGACCCAGTGTTCAAGAATTGCTAAGAGGGTTGATTTGCGGTGTATGAAAACCGTGGTTTATCCAGCCCAGTATTGATTTTTGTGGGTCTTACCGAGAAGCTCTCGTGTCTTCACATCAAGCAGGCTACTACCCTAGTTCGCTGCGGACGAAGGGGCATATCAGGAAGTATGAGTGTGCCATGGCACTAAATTCGTTCTCTGCCAGTTGTTGAAGGGGGCTGTGCAACAACAACTGGGAGAAAACGTTGACTGAGCGATATGATACTGTCTTCTCACTTGCGCGCCTCAACAGCTGGTGGAGAACGGGTTTGGCACCACGATCCAAACTCCTCTTGACCTGTTCGTCCGCAGCGAACAAACTATAATCACGCGTGAGTAAAGGTCGCGTGCATACTCGAGCAACTGAATCCCACTGCATTCTTAAGTAAGACTGCCTCAGCTCCTGCTCACTACCACAGGCTGTCCACGGTAAACTGCACGGTTTTCACGTGGGCGGGATCACCAGGAGCACTTTTCATTAAGCGTACCACACCTCCAGGATGCACGAAGAGCAGTAGGCACCATGGAGAAAATGGGCCAAATGGCATCCGCTCGTTGTGTGGTCGCGTTGGTTCTGAATTCCTATGATCAGGGCACATCATTGGTTGGGAATTTTAGTCGAGTCTGTACGACCCCCTTTTCGTACAAGGGGAGGGGGGTCATACTCGACTAAAATCCCCAACTAATGATGTAAAAAAAAAAAAAATGGGGCGGGGCATACCACCCCCCCCCCTTTTTTTGGGGCGTCCGGGGTGGTTGGTTACGGACCCCCTCCTTCGGCCCTCTGTTTCTCCTCATCGAATCGAGCCGTCTTCGAGCGGCGGTGAGCGCGAGCATGGGGGGGGGAGGGAGGGGGGGGGTAAGAGGGTAAAAATAGCACAGGTGAAACACCCAACCAGTAACTAGGAGATAATATCCCCCTCTCACCAGTTTTCAGGATTTTCCCCAACTTCCTGTGGAATGTTGTCATTTCGTGACAACTGTCTTCATTGAAGACAAGAGAGAGCAACAGTCGTCTCAAGCATGAAATAATATAGACTTAATTTAATTTGAATGTAGGTGCCTGCCTACATTCAGGCGGCCGTATATGTGCTCTTGAAACATTTCTTCCTACTGTGATTTTTTCTTTTCACAGGACCTATACCGCTTTCCCTCCCAGTTGGCAGAACTACCACTGATGATCTGAGGCTCAGCCTTTCCCTCCTTCCCCCCACCTCTCTCACACCGCCGTCTTCTTTCCCATTTGACGGCCAGAATTCACTGGACAATTTTTATAGAATTTGCGGTGCATTAAGGATTGGTAGGTATGGGAACGTGTTTATACAGAGAGCTACCTTGGGGGATTATGTAGACACTGTCATTTTACCCACCAGGCAGGTGTACCGTGCTCACTGTAGGGTGCTTTGCTAGCTAGAACCCCTGCAAATGAGATTTGTAGAACTGAAGAGAGTGGCAGACCTACACGAAAGCGTTGCTCGGTGTGGTCACTTTTTCCAGTGGCATGGTTGTCAGCACTCTCGCATCTCCGAGCAGAATCACTTCCCGATTGCCTTCATACAGAAAGTGAAGAGCTAGCCAGTATAATTGCTCGTGCTATAGCAGATATTGCTGTCATTGGACCGCAACAGCATCGCGATATGTGCCTGCAAGTCAGTGGTAAGGATAACTTTTCTACTGATGTCCTGTTCTTTGACTATATTAATTGATAGTTGCTCAGGCACCAGAACTATGTCCGAATTTGCGGTTCGTCTGGAGCAATCGCTCAATCGTTTTCTACAGCCACAACCAACCGGCGGTCAAGGCCGAAACGGTTGAGCTCAAGTTTTATCCGCACTCATCTTTAGTCTATATGTATACTTACTTACTTTACTTTCACTTAAGTAAATCAATGACGTTGAACTGGATTCGGTTTCAGGCTAAGAGAGCAAGACTAAGATATCGTTCTAAAGGATTTTAGAGGGTTTAATTGTAGGGAAAGCTACGTTCGCACGTTGCAGTGGTGCAGCGCGTCCGCTCTCTCGGCGATCCCCTCAAGGGCTAATGCCGTTTGGACGCGACTACCTTCTGCTGTGGAGTCATTTATGATGTGCCTAGACCACCAAACCTGATGAAAACTTGCACACAAGATTTGTTCGACATCCTGATTACGAATATGACATTCATCTTTGGCGCTGGCGCTAATGGAAGACACTACGATTCCCTTTTGGGCTCAGCCCTAGTAGGGCGCAGATAATCGTAGTGTCCTCCATTAGCGCCAGCGCTACGAACGAAATGTCATATTCGTAATCAGGATGTTAAATAAACCCTGTATACAAGTTTGATCTGATGATCTAGGCACTTCATAAATGACTCCACAGCGGAAAGTGATCGCGTCCAAACGGCATTGGCCCTCTCGAGTCGGCTTAACTCTTCTCTGTATATCTTTCTGTTGAGTCAGGTTAGCCAGGAAATGCTCTGCTTTTCGGGCCGCCGCCATGTGCCATGGTCGCCAGCCTGTGAAGGAATGCTCCTTACTAATGTCATTGGTCTCCGGGACACCCGCCACTTGGTCCCCTTCATTGGTATCCACAAGAAAAGTGTGATTATAGAACAGCAAATAACATGCTTTTTCATTCAAAGTCAAGAACAGGGAAGGGATTGTGAGAGCATAAAATAATGCTATCTTGAAAATGGTGATGGAAATAGCCGAAGGTGATGCCATTTCGAATAAGCAGGGCTTCATGACAGTTACACAAATTCGCTGATCTGTGCCATTGTTGGCCAAACAGCCAGTAATATTTGTTCTTATGAATATTGTCGAAGTGTTTCACAGAACAGGTCGAAACACACAGAAGATCATCGGTCTCCATACTATGCCCCTTCAAGCATCTCTTCGCAGGCCCAGAAAAATAGCAACTACAGAGAGGAGCACGAAAATGCAACTCTTGTGAGTGTGTCAACTTTTGAAATTCATGCGTGTGAAATTCGGTTCCTCTGTGTCTCTTTTTTGAAAATAGTAGTTTTTGACTACCAAGGTTAAAGCTGGAGATTTTTCGTCGGAAGAAGATGCACCTACTGGTATGCCGCTTACAGCTGCTGGACAGGTAACTTCCTGCCTTTAATATTGTCGTAGAAGCCAACAGTCTCATTTGTTTCTGTCACTTTTCTTGCTCGGACAATAATACTGAACAAAAACCCTCCCGCTTAGGAGTGATCGAAGAGATCGAGCTGTTTCTACAGGAGCGGAAAACAAGAGAAAAACCTTGGCGAGGTTACTGAAACAGCTCGGCGACTGGTGTCTTCCACTATCCGAACAACAGTCTCAAGGAAACAACGCGCGAGTGACATAACCCTGGAGATCAGACAGCCGCTAGAGGCTGGAGAGAATACTGTAGGCTGTATTGAGAACAAGGATAGCTTCACCTTCTCGTCAAGGTAAAGGCAGTTATGGAGCGCTTGCTCCTTTGTACAAGGATATCTCAGCGACACTATTTCACCTGGAGTCTCCCGTGCCATCAGAGGCTCATGTGTGACTTGACTTTGATGTCGTCGCGCCAATGAGCGAAAGTGTCGTTTTCTCTCCCACCCTTCTCCATTGTATTAGTTTTGCCGGAAAGTTCGGTCATACTTTTTTGAACTTAGAGTTACCCCAGACCCATTACCCGGAGAGGAGTTATCGGTAATGTGAGCTGTTATACATCAAGAACTAGCTTTTCTATTAGTACCACTCACTTAACTTGTGCAACATAGACAAGAATGGTATTCGCTGTCATCGGCACCGATCCTCCGAGCACTTCCTCAGACTTTTTCTTCTACCACCCCGACGCGAGCATGACAGCTGCTGAGGCCAAAATAATGGAGCTGCGTAAGGACGATGCCCTCAGTTATCGGACAACCTTCCACGACGCTAATGCTTCAAGCGGAGCCTACAGTTTCGATGACGAGGTGAGGTTCGGGTGTACATGTGAATTCAGCCTGAGGGGGCTGCAGGGGCGCTGTTCGTGAAACTGCTGGATGAAGAAGCTGCTTCTCGATCGATTCCTACATAAGAGAGTACGAAACTCTCGAGAGGAACATTGATCAGAGGGAAAGAATTTGTTGGAGAGTCGTACCGTTCATGACAGTGCCCCACCCTGTTCAAAAGAGCGCGAGCCAAAGCTCATGCATTAGAGCTGAATGGCTCTCAGCTTGCGTTGGTGTAGTCCCAAATTGCTCGTTCCAGGTACTAGTGGACTTCCGTACTTACCCGTTATATGGACGACAAATCTTCACATTGTGTAGCGATGGCATCCATGTGGTGCACAAAAACTGGGAAGAACTCCACAATGACAATGCTTTATAATTTCATTAATCTTGCACGCCTCCCTATAAAAAGAAAGCCTCATTGGAGGAAATATGACAGAACTTTCCTCCAAGCCTAATATGAGGGGGGAGGAGGGGAAGATCATACCAAGAAGAGTTATGGATGTGGACATGTTGCGTCTTTAGCTCATTCAAACGAG